CGCCTCTGCCTCGGCGAAGAACGTGTCGAAGATGGTCTCCATGGCATTGAGATCCGCCAGGATAGAGACGACGTAGAACCGGAAGATGGTTCCCTTGGTCTCCGCGTAGAAGTCTGTGTCAACCTCGGCGGCCCATGCAGACATACTGCGGGGTTGGAATGTGGTGGACGCAATCGGAAGCGCGCTGCTGCTGTTTGCAACGTTGGTGAAGTTGGTCAGCGCAGCGGGGTTGGTATTGTTGGTTCCGTAGAAGACCATTGCGCTATAGTGCAAGTCGCTGTCACCGTACGTGCTGGGAGACCAACTGACGGTGGGCGTGACGGCGGCCTTTTGGTCCAGGATGCCCCCGTGCGCAAAGTCGTATACGGCTTGGAGGAACTGGGTGCGAAGATCGGTGCCTGTGTAATAGACCGAACCAACTGTAACGACAGGGGCTTCCACGGTCTTCAGCTCAAAGGACGTGACAATACCAAAGTTGCTGCTGCCGCCACGCAGGGCCCAGAAGAGATCCGAGTACTCGTTGTCGATAGTGGCATTGACAATTCTGCCGTCTGCTAGGACGACCTGATATCGGAAAGGTCAGTTGTCGGGCTACGAGCGCAATGTTACTTTATAGGAAGCTCACCTCAAAGCTGGCAATGTTGGCAGACGCCCAGCCGTATTCATTTCCAAAGAACGAGATGCCGCCACCGAGCAGAAAGCCGGGAACACCCACCACCCCCATACGACCGCCGACGACCGTCTTGCCCGAGGGCTCGAGATAGTTGTACACACTAACCCAGTGGTTTCCGGGACCCACCGCCACAGTCGAGTTGTCATTGGACAGGACGAGATCGGTCAAGCCGGCGCTGGAGAGCAGAATACCCGACGAGTTGATGTTCGCGGATCCTGCGATCGGCATGTGGCCACCGCCCTGGATGGCGAAGGGCACCCCAGACGCGACGAGCGTCTTTACTCCAAATGCCATCTGCTCGGTACTGACTGGGGAAAATATACAAGCAGGGCTGAGCCACTCTGCCGCGCTGAAGTAAACTAAAGCGACACCAATGGTCAGTATATTCTCACTTTCCTACATCCTGGGGGGTACATACTCTCGTTTAGTGTGGTGTACTGCGTATTGTCCGCAAAGAGCGTTATGTTCGGATAGGCATTGCTGAAGACATTGCAGGTAGATTCAGGATCGGTTGTGCCATTGTTGCGCAACTGTAAGCGGCCTTCAGACGAGTGAAGCCCAGCGAGCAAGACAAGCTGAGCGATTAACTTTTGGGAGATCATGATGCTGAGTTTAAAGTGAAAGACGAGCACTGAGAAGCTGTAATGATACTACAGACGACATTTGAAGATTCGGCGTCCGCTTTGATGGTATTTATATGCACCGTTTGCGACGTCTATTCCACATCGCCGCCAGGGCTGAATCTACACCAGGACCTCCAATCCATCTACTCCATGGTAACTGTACACATGTATAGATCGGTCACGTATTCGGGAAGGACAAGGACATGAGATGTACAAAATGTTTCCCGAACATTTGGTCGCAGGAGACATTGCAAGGCTTTCGGCTGCTTCTTGTATAGGGAATTCGTGGGTCTTGCTGTGGCAGCTATGGATTTGACTGGCCAAGCGCGCCTTGTGACAGCATCAATCCAGGTAATCGTCTAACAGCATTTGATCAATAGCGTTGTATCGTGCTACGTAACAACACCACAGCCCCGGGGACGTTCAGGAGGGATGGTGGCGTTCATAGTGTTCTTTACCCCGAGCTCGTTAAGCGATATGCAGAGCTGCCGGAGTCGTTACCCCTTTTTGACAGCTGCTTGAAAACATCTGGGGTGAGACCCTCATCTAGGCCGCTTTAGGTGCCCAGTGCAAGCAGTCGGCATTGGTTGAGCCACTCTGCAAGTACAAGCTTACCAAGAACCTCGGTATCGTATAGTGATACTCGGACATAGGGGACGACGTTGAGCGGACGTTAAACTAAGCATTTGCCCAGCTGCCCAGCTGCCTCTGCTGGGGTTAGCGCCACCCCTGCAGAAAAATGTTTCCCTGTTGCATGCTAATAATGTAACCCCTTCATATGTTTCTAGTGAGGGCGAACTCGTCCATAGCCTTATATGTTCTATACTAACCGCGAGCTATCGTTCTGTGGACTTGTCGATTGTCTAAACCCACCTGTCGCGTGTTATAATACAGGGCATAAGCCACGATGACTTTGCAGGAGTACTGTAGAATTTTTAAGCCCGAAATGATAGCATCGGTGGTAGAATACCATATACTCGTTCTCGCTGTTTGTTGTTGGCTCGGACCCACTCGTAGATCAAAATGTGTCGCCCCTGACAAATAAATAGCACAGACACTTATACGACAGGGGACATAGTTTGACATCCCGACGTTCAGCTAGGTTAGCTTCTTGATGACGTTGGCCTGTGGGTCTCGAAGTGTTGTTTTACTTATAAAAGTTGAAAAAATAAGAATGAATATACATCTCATATCGCGGGTACCTGGTCGATTTCAACCTTGAAAAAACTCCCAGGGCAACGGTTTCCGCATTCACTTGAGAATGGCGTCTGTTCACAGTTACCTAAGTACAATGGGCGATGTCGCATGGGAAATAAGTAGCATCTATGAGCTTGTTTATTGCAATACCATTATGTTGAGAAATTTGTACTATATTTGTTCGTCCCGCTGTGGTAGCACTGTTTAGATATCTAAAGCTCATATATGTCAATCTACTTTCAGTTGCAAGTGTCGAAGCTTTCCATACGGAGAAATGTAGCATACGTACTATTTAGCTGCAAATGGACATTCCTAGGGCCGAGCTCGGGAAGGATTTAAAGATCTTCAAGGGCGACCCTACGATAAGGGATGCTTCATGTAACAGCTCTGGAGTTTGTCCATCGACGAGAAAGTTCCTAGGCTGAGATGTCCGCACGCGTCAGCTGAAGTCTTAGCTTTCAATTCCTCGCAAAGCCTTCGTATATATGCCTGCTTTGCACAGCTGTGCCTTTTTGAGGTCCGCACGAGCGCCGCTTAGTACGAGCCGATGTATGTTCGAAGAGCGAGGTGACAAATGGGCGCAGTCTAGCATGGTATCAGTCATGAACGCGGCGCCACCGGGGTGGTGGGGCTGCAGTCCACAAAAGATTGATGGGTCACTGATAGGCCCTCATGTGGAAACATGAAGCCCTAGAACGGCAAATTGATTTATTGTTCCCTTTATCTAATGAGGTCCAAGCAAAGCGAGCTGCAGTGATCCACTTCCCAACCAGACTTTTCTGTCTGTCACAATGCGCCTAAAATAGGACTTATCCTACCACCCAACTCGCCGTGAGCGGCCCAATTGGTTTCTCGCAATGCACCTTTGCCCTTGCGCTTTCCCACTCTTGCTGCCATCTCCAAGGCCTTCAGCTTGCATTTCTGACAATTTCTTCACAGTAGAAGCTGCAGCTTTCTCTATGCCGCGAAAGCTCGGCTCGACTCCGTCAGCACCACTTTCCAGCCCCTCCGCGAATGCCTCCTGTGTTCGTCGCAGTCAAGAATATTGCCATGGTCGCCTGGCTGACCTGTAATGGCGTTTTATTGCCTTTCAGCTTCTCCTAGTGAATTGTCTCCATCCGACTCTCTATGCGATTCGCCCACGCGTCAAAGTCGTTTGCCCAGGTCTCAGAGTCAGTGCTCTTCTCTAGGGGAGACTCCAGCCAAAGGCCTCTCTTGCTGTAGAACCACGGGCGCTCCGTTCTTTGGAAGCCGTCGTTCACGGGCAACCGCCGCGCCCCTCTGCGCTTGTAAGTCCGAGTCTTTGTCTTGGCAGGGTCTTGCTAAGATGCATTGCAAACGGAACAGTCGTTGCAAGTCGTAATGTGCCTTCATCCTGTAGGATTCTTCCGCTTCACGATGCTCGATGTGATCAGCAGCGCCGAGCCTTGATAAAGTCAGCAGTCAACTCACTTTTTGCTTTCGGCATCCGAACAATTTTGTCTCAGCTCAACCTTCTTAGTCCAATTAATAATGTTTTGCATTCGATACGATACATGCCGTACTTAGGATGTGGCCTTAGGTTTCTTTGTGTCTGCTCTTCCAAAACTCTCTTCGGCCTGGTGGCATGTCTGTAGATCTTGGCCCGGCCTTACTTTCTGGGTTGAGATCATATAAAGACGATCACTGGGCAGCAGCTGTTGGCTGCCTCGTCTCATGTCTGGTCTCCTAACAGGAGCGCAGCAAGCCAAAACAATTTTGATATACATGTGGCACAGTCTAATTTCACTTGAGCGCCATCAAGCAGCTTGATCATAGGCTCGATCAGCATCGGGGTTTGGGCTGAATCGTGAGCTGAAACAAGTCATGAGCTACCACGTTTTTCCTGCATATGGAAATTCTCAATACATCAGACAAATGCACCATTAGCAAGAAATCGAGATATCAGGATGGCAACGTTGAACTGTATAGTCTTTGGTCGAAGCAATCCGCGAGGAACTTGGACCCGGTAGTCTGGATTGCGCTAAGGGGTGCTGACTCATCACACATGCAGGTGCGGGCCGATGGACCGCATTGTCGGGATGACTAAGTAGGCGGCTCTGCCACGTTGATTTTGTGAAAGATATTTTGTGGATATAAAAAAAGCAAAGCAAAATCCGGGACACAGGCGTTTTGGAATAAAACAAAAAGTCTTCGGGAAAGGGCGTCACGCATAACAAGGAAGGATACTTTGGACCGATCATTACGTATATTCTCGAAACCGCAATGGTGCGCATTCCTTGCAAGCTTACTTATACAATCCCCGCACACGACGGGGCTGGGCAAAGTACTTGCTCTGTAAACAACGAGACTTTCAAGGCCCTTGCCAGGTACTTTGCATCTACATTCGCGAAGGGGGGGGGACGAAGAATCGGCCGTCGCCCAACGCTGCGTTTTCGACCACCGTTAGCCCCTTTCCCGTTCCTGGGCCGTTTCCCATTTCTTAGCAACGAGGAAACCACCGTCCCAAAGGTACAAAAAAAAAAAAACTCCCTCGGATGGGCTCGAACCATCAACCTCTCGATGTCGTGCTGACTAATCTCAGATAACAGTCGAACGCGCTTGCCAATTGCGCCACGAGGGATATTCGGTTTGTTGGAGGCTTTGAATCAAAATACATATATATACTTCAAAAATAACAGAGGTCTAAAGAGCAAGCATATCACTAATATAAACATCCGTCCGTTTTCTCTACTAACGGTCAACTTTCATGATATCGAAGTAAAGCGATATTTTTCTACTCACAGTTCATATCTCTAGATATATACTAGGATTTGATTAGGAGGTTACTAGCGCCTGATGTTCCGTGGACTTAGACCAGATATATCCACCTCCCAGCGAGATAGTAAATGATGGCAATGCATAGGTACCTACATAGGTGGTTACCTCGGTAGTCATGCAGATATGCGAAATACGACTGACCAGGTACCGAATACACAAATTCTAAACATAGACAGCAGACTCGCAGAAAGTTGCATGCGGTCACAAGTATACCGCCATCTCGGAGAGCGGCCGCCGTGGATATTATACCCGATTATCTTCATAGGCCCCCTTCTCTCGAACCTTCCTCTATGCAACTTTCGACGAATTTTGTTGCATGGTTCCTTTGAGGCACTCCTCCACCAGCGTGCCTCTCCAAGCTCGTCGCTTACCCCGAGGACAGCCTCAGATTTCTTCCTCTTGAACTGGCCGACATCTAGCCCAACTTTCTCGAGTTTGGCAACCACTTGAAAGGCGCGTCCAAATGTCTCTGCGATCATCTCCTGCGATTCCGCCATTTTTCTTTTCCGCACGGAAGTTTTTCCAGGTCTTCCAAGGTTGAGCCCGCACGGCAGACTCAATGGCGGATGCCCAAAAGGGCGAAATATTAGTAGTCATGAATGCTACCGTACCCTCCAAGCGGAAGCCTTGGCCTGGAACAGATGAAATAAGGAAAATCACGACCTCAGATATTATCGTCACGTACCTAAGTACGTGTGGAAAACCAGACGCGTTGTTGCTGCTCGAGGAGAGAGGAGAGAGGAACGGGACGATCCTGAATCTCCCGATCCACTAAGTAGCTAACGTTCATTTACTTCCAGTAGTACGATCCACTTTCTCAGTACCGTCATGATATCTAGGCCAAGCTTCCGAGCTCTCGAAATTGTTGAAGCACTGAAAAGTAGCACCTGAGAGAACCATTTACTTAGCCAGTAGCCAAATGCAATGCTACCGCGATGCCAATGCCAACTTATGTTTGATAAGGATATCACAACGAGTAAATGTATGAACCAATATTTAGCTGTTATGCCGGACCAGTTGGGTGGTACGTTCCACTGTGACTACCTGTATAACCACCTGTGTAGTGTGTTACGATTACTTTATGAGTTCAAGACGATTTAGAACTTGTGGGCGCCGTAGGGCGTTCTGTGGATTTCGCAAATATGTAGTTGTCTTTCTCGGAGGGGGTGGGGGTGTAATCATGTAGATGTTGTCATTGGGCGCTCTTTCCCACTGTCCTGGAAATCTTTTCCTTCCGACAACCAACCTCCAACCTCCGACCTTACGGTATGTACTGCCCTACCTGCAAATCCGATCCATCAGCTATCAGCTATCATTTCCGAAGTGCCTATGGACCACGAGCAGATCAACAGTCACGTCGCAGTCCCAACGCGCAACGCGTAACAGCCAGAGCGCCATTCTGAAGATCTCAATGTGTCCAGCATCAACAGGTCGACAGTGGCAGCATTGCCAATATGCGATCCCATACACTCATTCTGGACGGAAACCCCATTTACTGACGTTTTGTGAACTAGCAGATAGAATAATACTTTAGAAAGTCGTAAGTTCTCCCAACCTCGTTCACTGGCTGTGACAGCAGCTGACTGTCTTGTGCCGCAGACGATGCCCGACACCAACGCTCGCGTGAGTCTCCTCTTGGCGAAACGGACACCGTTCGATGCCTTCGCTCCTCATACATACCTCAACAATCCTCTTGTTGAACACTTGCCCCTTGGCCGAAGGCCTCTTGGCTCTGTTGATGGGCCGCACCTTCAATCCCTTTCAGCACCTATTGAAGATTGCCGTTTAGCGAAGTTCTGTCTTTTCAACACTGTAGAAATATGAGGGCTGACAGAGGTTTAGCAGACCAACGCCAAAAC